CCATATTGATTTATTCCTCTTTTGATTGGGTTGCTTGCTTTGACTGGAATTGTGCATTTTGATTGTGAATTGAAGCACTCTTCCGCAATAGGAAACACACTCTGTGTGTAAAGCAACCAAATTATCTGTCAATGGAATCTGATCTATTCAGAAAGGATAGAATATTAGTATCTTGCTGTTGATTTGAATAACTGAACAATTGTTGGTGGAATAACTGAGTGGTAACATTTGTTCAGGTAATGTTGTATAGTTATATTTATGATGAATATTAGAACTGTCATTTACCTGTCACTATTCATGCGTTTCATACAAATTCCATTGCTTTCTAACTCTTCCTTTATTGATCTTCCCCCCATATTATGCTACCAGACATTACGTTGACACTCACGTTATATACTACATATAAGTAGTTCGCACCACAGCACCACAGCACCACAGAATCCTCATATTTTGCATTGAACATTCAACTTTTAAATCTCTAACCTTGATATCCACTTGTTTGTGAAATAAGCTACATTTTATTGTACATTTATGCTCAACTTTTTTCTCACTTATATCAAGCCAAATAATAATAATCAATAATAAAATTGGACATTATTTTCTTTCTTCAATAGGAAGCAATAGATTATTTTATATATTATGTCCTCCATGTAACAATATCAAAGCATAGATTAACTAACAAGACATTTAATCAATTCATGCGTCTATAACACATATAAAGCATGCATGCTATTTATTCCGTTTTTTTAATGATTATGATTATGATTATTGTTGTTAGTTTGTCTGTTTGTTTGTGTTGTTTGAATGAGTGAATGAAAGAGACAAAGAAAGAAATTCTCACAGAATTTTATATATAGGGAAAACTGTCATGATACATTAAGAATTGTTAGCTTTGATTTTATTTATTCTTTGTTTTGATAAATTATTCACAGGGAATAATACAGATTATTGTTTTTCCTGTTAATTATGAAATTTATTTGAATGCATGATTTCTAGCTCTAGCATTCATTTGAAAATCATTGGAAATCGTCAGTTTTAATGAAAGATAATGGTAGACATTTTGAAATCATCAATCAATCATTGTTAGACGAGTACCATTAGAAATCTGGAAGCACTGAAAGACGGTCGTTTCGTTCCTGGTATGGGACGAATTACTGGCAGTGCGCATCCTTTGACTCCTGCCCCATCGCAGGATTCGAACCCGGGACCTTCGGTATTGTGCACGAACGCTTGACCACTGCTTATGAGTCCCATACCAAATGGGTGAGGTCGCGCAAAATCCCTAGATCAATCAGATTTGGACATTAACACCGTTAGGTGCCGGCCCAGTGGTCCGATGGTTAGGCGTTCGCGAGTTCGAATCCCGTGAGTTGCAGGAGTCGTGGATTCGCACTCCTGATGAGTCCCATAACAGGACGAAACGGCCGTCTTTCAGTGCTTCCAGGTTTCTAATGGTGCTGGTCTAACAATGATTGGTTGATGATTTCAAATGTGTAAAAACACAAATCTCCAAAAATAAATGAATGTTGTCTGTTAGTTGTGTGTAATATGTGTTATACGAACTCAAAAGAACTATGACTGTTATCCGATTGAATTAAGTAGTACCGGCATCAACTGTACATATGGATCTCTGATTCTAAACTAATGGTTCTTATGGTCCGCAGGATGTTGACGAACTAAGTGGCATATGAATAAGTGATTATTGGTAACGAACCATCATGGGACTGCTTCACTGCTTTGTGGATTAGACCTTTAGGTCAAAGTCTTGAGGAGTGGCCCCGTAATAAATCTACCTGTTTAGGTTTGTCCACCCAGAGAGAATCCTAGCCCACATACAAATACAATGATTTATATGGCACACACACATATTCAAGTACTCCTTTGTATTAATGTTTATATGTTTAATTAATAAATGATTGAGAATTAGCTTATAATGTTCCGGCTTCAACATTTCTTTTGTTAATCAAGGATAATTCATAATGATCCATGATCACTTAGAGAGGTTTTCATGCGTAGGACAACTGTTTTCGCTTCAAAATCTTTGCTTGAGAATTCACAGCCAAAGAATGGCATTTACAACTTTACACAAAATCAAACTAAGTAATTTTAACAATTTGGCTTAGAGCTTGTTTCTGTCAAACTAACCTGTCATAACCAAACGCCCTCATTATTATTGAATTCCAACTTATCAGACAAAAAGCATCACGATTGCCGTTAGTTTGATTTCATAAGAGATTGAAGATAGAACATCTGTTCAGTTCTTTTTTCTAGTTATGAATAGTTGTTCAACTATGGTTGGTCCATGATTTTTAAAGACCTCTTTGAAAAACCACCAGACATTTAGAGCAAGATATAAACCTAACAGTTATGTTTTAACTCATCGACAAGTGAGCAACAAAAACCAAGAATCTTTCATTGATGTACGACTACTAATCATATTTGATATTTTTAATAATTCGGTGAATTTGCTAGAGCAAAATCTTGTGTTTTCCGATTAACTGTCTTATTCCTTTGATTTTACTTTTTTTGGACAGACGTCGCTTATAAGTCAATCTCGTGTGTAGTTTACCACTTGACAATTTTTTTTAAAACTTGGTTCATTATCTATTTGTCGGCATTCTGTTCATTGATTTAGTGCTTTAAACTTCTCACTTAATAATTAAAAGAAACTACTTTTGTACACATAAAGTTGAAATTTTAATGAATAAAAGTCCTACAGTTTGAAATGGATACAGTTGTATACAACTAGTATTGTTGAAGATAACTGACAACAATAACTACTACAGAGTTGATGTTCATTAATTGATATAAACAGATATTTAAGTGCCCGACCGAAGCTGCTACCTTGACGTGGTGGTCGGGCTTGCCTATCGTGATGACCCAACCGAGCTATACTGGCTGGAACATATGTTCCTGTAGGTCGATTGGAGAACGATGAGACTAAAAGCAGCTACTCAAGGTCTGAGGGCGAAGTCGTACTGCTGACTGCAGAGGGGTGTGACAGCAGTAAGGTGTTTCCCTCGGACAACCAGCATCTGCAGCGATGCTGCATTCTCACAAGGAAGGAAGGGTTAGAAAAGGTCGGCCCTAAAAATGTCACACCTCCCCTACCTCACGGATTTCCGTCTCCGGCGGTAAGGGTGCCCACTAAGGGCCTTTAAGAACGGAGCTAACACTCAAACAACTCATAAAAAGGCCATGCGTGACCGGCCTCAAGCATTTGTCCCTTGGGTTGTGCGGTCACGCACCAACACTAATCCATCTTCCTTTTCAGGTTCGTCAAGAAACAACCTTCCACGGTGTGGGCAGCCGGGAAGTGATAACCGCCCTCATACCCGTAACAGCACACGTTAACGACATGGCTCAAAATCGTTTGCAATGGCGCAGGTGCATCCACTCTTTGAGCTCTCTCAAATCCTAATCTTCTGGATTCGTCAATACCTCTGCCTTTGTCTTTATAATCTTATCTCACTGAATTATATTTTTTGAATAATATCTTCGAACTTTAGTCTTCTTTAATAACATTAATACCTGTACTGTCTTTATCACTATGGGATTTGATTTGACATTTGCGTCTCTGTGCTAATAATGTAGTATGGCAACATGAACTTATGTACATACGTACGAAGTTCTACGTTGCAACTGACTGACTGACTGACTGATATTTAAGTGCTTTCAACTATCTAACAGAAAAAAGTCCATTACGCTTAATAATCTAATATAAAATTTAATTTACATAATTGTATTGGCACTTAATAATCGGTACTTTTTATACTAGCTATTACTGAGTAATCGACCCGTTCTTTAGATACATACAACATCATACATCTCTTGTAAACATTATTTATAAAATCTTCTGAATGAAGTCTCTTACTTCATAAACGTATCATACATTTTATAAACATTGACCAATTCAATTACTTACTGACTTACTTGTTGCCCCTAGTGGGGCATAGTCTGACCACATTCTCTGACCAGCATTCTCCAAGACACTCTCTTCTGGACATTTTTTCTAGTTCTATGTGATTGTTCTTCTTTCTTGTCACGTCTTTCTCCGATTCCCTCTACTGGTTTTCCCTGAAGGATTCTAAAATGAGATCTTGTTTTGTGACACTGCTGGGTGCTTTCCTAAATATGCGTCCCATCCACTTCCACCGCTTCTTCTTGATTTCTTCCTCTGCTAGAATCTGATTTTCTCTATCGCAAAAAATGTTGTTGCTGATAGTGTTTGGCCAATGGATCCGAAGTATTTTTTTTATAGACAACTGTTAAAAAACATTTGTATATTGCGAATGATGACTTTCATGGTTCTCCAGTTTTTCAATAGCCAAGCCCTCACTCGGAATCTTGAAGGCTAAAGAAAGAGAAAAAGTCCAAAGAACATGACACCGACTCCGCCTACTGCGCCTAGTTGGCTACTTCCGGTCCCAAACCCAGATAAAAGAAGAGGGTTGGGCATGAGGTTAGCAAATCCATCCCATTAAAAAAACCAACTCGCTAAAAATAGCTAACCAGAAAAAAAAAACTATTTAAACCATTTGAACTCAATTCAATGATCACGTAATGTAAGGCATAAGTCTAACTACAACAAAGAGTTCAACTTCCATTTTAATGTTAATTTTCTTATTGAAGCTTGTATTCTTCAACTAGTTCAATACTTTTTTTACGTAGAATGAGAGAGAAACAAATGAAGTTCAACTGTAATGAATTTTATCTATTATTTAATAAATAGTCAACTCATTTATAAATCATTCATTGAACACATTTGAACATTTTTACTAGAAAGAAATAAAAAAACAACAATAAATTGTAGGTTATTATGCTTTCATGACAGATTAAAAGTTCAAAAATAAACAATAACAGAGATGGATTGATTATTTTTATATAAAAATGAATGCTCTTTAAAAAAAGAAAAATTTATACTGTTCCTAATTTTTTTTTCTGTTCTTTTACAATTTCCGTTATTGGTTATCATCATCATCATCATCATCATTCAGGAAATGTTTTGGTTGTGTAAATTATGTCAAAAGAAACGTCAATTAATTGTAAGTTGTGGTAGTTGGTTACAAGGTCTACCTAAAAATAGAAATAAAAAACAAACAAAAGAATTACAAAAACTAATACAAGTAAGTTGACATGTTCAATTGTCAATGAATTATTTGGAATTTTCTTTAAATTAATTAATATATTTAAAAACTACTCAAAATGTTGAAGGTCAAATAATCTTGGGCAATATTGTTTCGTCTTAGTATAGGGACTTTACAGGTGTATACATCTGTTGGGAAGGTTAGATCTTCAGAAGTTGGAACTTGGAAAAGATCCTAATTTTGTAATTTATTTCTGAAATTTTAAATTTGTATGTTTTCGCGCCCCGAAAACGCTTAGTTCACCTTCAGCCTACATTTCCCACTCAGAAGATTCTCAACTGTCATTGGTTGATGGATTATTTTAGTACGCTATTTTGTGGCTCTTACTAAGTGCGTTTTATTATTATATAAATAAGCTTGAGTTGTGCGCTTGTCGACATCGTATTGTCTGGATGACTATGAGATAGATTCTCTCTTCGTCTTATCAAGACTTCTTCCTCTAGTTAGTGGGGCATGAGACAATTGTATTAGAATAGCCTATCGTGTCCCTGAATCATTGATCTCCGTTCCGATTACCGAGTGAAGTGAACTCGTAATAGTTTCTATCATATCAGTATCAATGATTTGTCAATGAATTTTATACGACAATGAGATAACCATCCATTGCTTTTTAGCTTCCAAACTTCGTCTGATTCAAGTCTGTTCATGATTTCAATAACATTCAACAATCCTCATAAATACCTATATTCAAAAATCTATATCAATTTACCAATATAGATGACTGATTATTTATATCGAAAAGTTCAGATAGTTCGTTCAGCATTAAAGACACTATTATTATTGTTACTAAAATATTAAATATCAAGTGTGAATCTGATATATTAAGTAAACGGATTTTGAATACAAACTATTCTCAAACGAACATAGAAATTATGATAAGATTCTCAGAGACAGTGACGAATGAAATCATTGTAAGTAAAGTTTTCTTGGAGGATTATTTGTCACAGATGAGGTTTTCTGTAATTTGATTAAGAGAAATTTTGACTTTTAAAATCAATGAATAGAATGGGAATCGATAAACCAGCGCAATGATACACTGAGGTGGAATACTAGTTAGGCAACTTAGGCACTCAAAATGATTAGAAACCATAGACCAGGCCACTGGCCAGATGAACAATGTTCTCATCTAATAAAATAACACCATTATATACAAAATGTGTATATAAATTCAAAATTATAAGAAACCATGGTTTATTGAAGGAAATTAGATTGTAAATCATCCATTCTCTCATCATCTAAAACCTGACTATTAGGTTTAATCTTTAGGCTTCATATCTACATTTTATTGGTCGCATTTTTTAGTGGTTAAAACATTCCTATCATACGATTTCTAGAAGTAAGAATAATTAAGACTTACAGGATAACATACTTACTTACACCTGCTAACCTTAGTGGAGCATAAGCTTCCGACCAACACTCTTCAACCTCCACCTTCCTTACTGATTCTACTCGATTGTTACTCATTCTTTTCATGCCTTCTTCCAATTCTTTGGTTTTCCTCTTTTCCTTTGGCCCTGAGGATTCCATGTGAGGTCTTGTGTTGTAACGCAGTTGGGTGCTTTTCTCAGTGTGTGTCCTATCTACAGTGCTTTTTCTTTAACAGCATAAGCTTCTATATGAACTGTAAACACTTTTAAATTGACAGTGAATAATATTATTTGATTCAAAAGTTTAACATTATTTAGTTAATAACATTCAGTTAAGTGAAAAAAAATGATATAAACATATGTAGATGAAGAAGAAGAAGACTCAATGATATAACATTGTACATACTAGTTAAAAAAAAAAATTGATCATTGAAAACGTTTACAAGTTATTCACATCATTTAACTAATTTTTTCTCATAATTTTTTCCCCTCCAAAAAAATAAAAGAAAACCAATCGAATTACACGAACAGCGTCTTATTCTCAATATGAAGATTTAATTGATCAAGTTAGTTTAGATGAATCAGTTGTGACTAGTGGTGATCAAGATGAAGAACATGAAGGTGAAGCTGAAGGTCAGGAGGAGGAAGAGGATGAGGATGAGGAGATGGTGGTGGAAGACGAGGAATGGAGGAGACATTTAATAACTGAGAAGAAGAAGAAGAATAAGAAAAATACATCATTTATCAAACCTCATGAACATACAATAATGAAAACTATTCATCAGCGGAGAGCTTCAGAACAATTGAATCTGCATGATGTAACTAAATCAATACATGGATTATGTTATCCAACGAAAGGTGATCAACCTGTAACTACTGAAATTAATCAAACAATAACCGGACAGAAATGTGTAAACGTTAAAAATGATGATGTTGATGATGATGACATTGATAGGAATATTAATCAGAATAAAAGTCATAAAAATTCAACTTATCAACAACGTTTACATTTGTATTTTACCAAACAAATGAGTCAAAGTTTTAGTGTAGATGATGCAGATGATGATGATGATGAGGTTGGATTTGTGAATGATGATGTGAAAAGTGATCATCTTCATGTTCACAATCAAAACAATCAATCTAATGAAACTAATCATTTTAAACAATCATTTTCATCCAACAATCAACTACCAATCATTAGTAAACATTTAAATTTACAAGAGAATTATGAAGAATTAAAAATGATTGATGAAATACCAGAGATTAAATCGGCTGTTATTATGATCGATGAAAATGCTTCTAAAGTGAAAACGTGCGTTCAACCAACTCATAGAAAAATTCCTTTAGATAAAAATAATAATAATAATAATGATCAAAATGTTATTTCATTGTCGACAGGTAACCAAAAAAAAATTTTTGATTAATTATACTCATATAATGAATGCATTGTTTTATTTTTACTAGACAATGTACTCAACTACAAAAAAAGATATCAAATGATTTTTTTTTAAAAAGTGATTTCAAAATTTCATTCTTGAAGATTAATTGTTTTAAACAAATTTATTATTGAAATGTCTTGTTGAGTTTTAACCGTGGATTATTGTATTTATAAAAAATAATTCACTTTTATTAAGCAATATAATTTTCGGAATTTTGTTGAGATTAGAATAATTAATGCTTAATATAAATGCAGTGCAAAAAAATGATATTTTCTAACCATTTTTAAGTGGTCATATACGCAGTAATTATTGTGAATAGTAAGATTAGGTTTGGAGATTTGTATCCCTCATTGCAAACATTAACTCCTCCTGGACCCCTCTAGGGATTCTTACCGATCTCAAGCATGGATAAAGGAGGAGGGTTGGTCAAAGGGGTTAGAGACCCCGTCCCGTAGAAAACTAACTTGTCTAGGGTGAATAGCATTAGCTATCGCATAATAAAGATGTACAATGAATTTGAGTATTAGAATGTCTTTTAGCAGGACATAGATTTGTTACACTCGTCTCTAGGCACGCTTGAAACTCTTACGGGTCCACCTCAGTCGAATAACGAGAACAAAACAATGAACCAGCGTCCAGGTAGATTACTATGATTCACTGACCCAGATGTGCTGGCAAGAAGTCTTGATATAGCGCAGGAAGTGTATTCTACAAACACCCAGCCAGCACACAATGAATCGAAGCACACAAATCGCGTTTATTTATACAACACAAAGTCGTCCTTGGGGGAGTCACAAAACAACACACTAAAATAACACAGTAACCAATCACAACAGCCAAGGATTCTCCTGGTGGGAACTTTGATCTCTAGGTCAACTGATCGGTCCATGAATTAAATCTAAAATAAAGATATTTATCAAGCGAGTTCTGGGGATCTAACATCCCCAACAAGATTAAGGCATGTTCCCTACACGATTGCGTTGTTGCACGCTGACGGACTCTTTCGTATCCAATCATTGCTAGTCCGTACTGAGGGAACATTCTAAAATCTTCTCATGTAAAAACTATAGGTATACTAATGTTTTGGACTTCCATCTAACTTTGTTATTTGAATATAATCTATTTCCTGTTCAACCGTGTTCTTATTTGGGAGAACATCTCGACTGAATTGGTGTCCGAGAATACTAAGCATTAAGAATAGATGGGTTGTAATAAAGAGAGAATTATAACAGATCAATTGTATACAAATTAACATGGATTGAATCTTATGGATCGGTTTTCATCATAATCAATGTTTAAACATCATCGTGCAGTTTGTTTTCTAGTTCATGAACTAACTTCTTGAATATAAATTTTAAATTAATGATGGATGGCAAAAAAGTTGATGAAGTCTTGAATATTTTGTCCAATGAAGTTTGTCATACATCTCAAGATATGATGGACAAAATAGCATATATTAATGGCTAGCATAGAAGTATATTATCAGCTGACTGACTACATCCCAAAAGAATTATTTATTCTTGTAGTCCATAAGATAAGATAGTTAAAACTCCTTGGATTTTCGTCTTATGAAGTTTCTGTTGCATTGTGTTCATATGAAATATTACAAGTTGTATAATGTTTATGACTGTCATGATTGATTGATTAACAATCCTCATAGTTAACTTTTTTACTAACTAATCTAATGAACTTTAGATTTAAAAAATAAAAATAGATAAGCAGATAGATTACTTAAATGAGAACATGATTTTCATCAGTGATAAGTAAGTAACAACTAGAAATGAAATATTTTGCAAGCTTCATTTACATAACAACCTCACATTAAATCAAATAAAAGATTTTATAGATTTCTTAATGAGAATAGCTTATCTAAACCATTGATGAGTATAAATGCCTTTAAAATTGATAGTACACCAAGTTAATGGATGTTCCTGAGGTTCTCGGAGTTCCAATGAGAAAATGTGACACATATAATTCTACCTTGTGGAATGTAGGCAGTAAATACCAAAGAAAACGGGTGAGGTTGCACAAAATCTTTAGATTGATCAAAGTTAGACAATAACACCATAAGGCGTTCGCACTCAAGACCGAAGGTCCTGAGTTCGAACCCTGCAAGGTGCAGAAGTCGTGGATGCGCACTGATGATGAGTCCCATACAATGCGAAACGGTCGTCGAGTGGTTTTTAGGTTTAATGGTGGTCAAACCATGTATTCGTTCATGATTTCAAGGCGAAACTACAATCTCTATGATACTCTGATGCAAAATAAATAAATGTTAGCTAGCGCAGACGTTTCTGTTGACTGTCTCCAACTGCCTAACATGTGGTTAGACTTATATATTTTTTGACATAAATGATCTATGATGTTTTGCCATCATTTTAAATGAATAGTTAATTAACTTATATCATTATTTTTAAAACATATTACAGTTTCACCAACTAGCATATTATCTGACCACCGTACAGATGATGTCAAACAAATTATACATGATAACAATGCTGAGACTGATATGATCTCTTCAAAAGACTATCAAAATACTTTTTATGATTTAAACGCTTATTATACTAATCAACATCCAGACCATTCCATTCAAACTAATCATAATGACATGAAATCAAGTTACTATGAAAATATTACAGAATCAATACATTTCAATCCATTCAATGATCAAGATTATTTGTTCGAAGAAAATTCATCAAAATGTCAACAAAACACTAATCAATTATCAATGGACAATTTAATCAAAATGAAAATGTTGAACACTTGTACACAGTCACAAATAGATAGTACTGATGAAGTAGGTTTAATTATACCACAACACAGTGATGATGAAACTAGTGAAGATATGGAAAAGCAGATGAATAAAACTGACAACAATCAAATATTATCAATAATTGATAATCAAGTAAATGAAACAAGACAATTATCTCAACATGAGAATGATCCCAATTTTCGGCATTCACAATTCAATCGACAAACACGTAGACAATCATGTCCACTAATGATTAACAGTGAACTGCCATCATCATCATCTACATCATCATCTACATCATCACATCAACCTATAAGTCAAAAACAAAGTTTAAAATCACAGTTTAGTTATTCTGAAAGCGTTGATACTTGTAATCGTTATGATGATGATGATGATGACGAGAAATCTACTCATTTCTACAATGATCAACATGATTTTTATCAACCAAATGATTTGTATCATCATGAACTGAATTCAAATAGCTTGAATCTATTTTTTCCTTATAATCTGAATAATTCATGGGATTATGCTGAAGATTTGCGTAAAATCGATGAAAATATCTATCAACGTACAACTCTCGCTAATGTTACTACTCATGAAATGATTAATAGTAGTAGTAGTAGTAGTATATACAATGAATCAACTAGTATCACTTCACCTGAGAATTATTATACAAATGAAACTTTACAATCATCAATTAAAAATTATGCAAATAATTTTGAACCTTCAATGAATGATCATTATTTAAATTGGTTAAATGAGCTAAATTCAAATTATAATTATGTTATAAATCAAGAAGAGAATTTACAAAGTACACAAAATTACAATATGAATCAATATGACGACAATTCCACAACACAATGTTCATTCATAAATAGCACTAGTTCACAAGATAGGCCAATTTCAAGCTTGATTACAACCAGCGCCGCCAATAATGGTGAATTAATTGAACAAAATCTTCTATTAAAACGTTGTCCTAATTTTGAAAATATCAGTTGTTTATCTAATAATAATAATAATAATGGTAATAACAATGATATTGAAAGCAGAAGTCATTTTAATGAAGGATCAATGCAATTGTCTGATGCTGTCAATGATGAGAAAGATGATCTTGAAATGAATAATAATGATACACCAACAAAAGTATGGGGTCGAGAATTTCGTGATCGACTACAGGTAAATACTTAACAGTTCGTTTGTTGTTGTATACGTATGCATGTGTGTGAGTGTGCTTGTTTTTGGGAAATAGGTTTAGGCTTGATAGTGTTGTGTATGTTCTACTGAGATGGTTCAAGGAAACCTTAGGCTGAGAAGAATCTGATTTACTAGAATATTCTCATCCTCTAGGTTAACTTCTGAACCAAATATCAGTGAGAGAGCAAAAACTCAAACAACCAGATTAAATACATTGATGGGAGTAAAATATTTAACGTTTTCAATTGATATAGATGGGCACCAATCACATGATGTTTGGAATCTATATTACTGTGATTGTTTGATTATATCTGAAAGATTATTTCTAGACAAGCCATCAACATTGTTTATTTCATATTTTATATCAAAAATCAACAATAACGTCAAATTGAATACGTTGAATGTCTGTGTACACTTTATTTTCAATAACCAAGCCTACTATGGTTTAAGGGATGCTGATTATTATTACCGCTCACTTAACTGTTGCTATCAACCAGATATCATGATAGGAAGTGAAGTAGTTGAGGGTGTCGACCGCTTGACTTATCTCGGGAGTCTCATCAGTGCTGATGGCTTGGTGACTGACTAAATCTCAGCTCTGATATAGAAGGCTCAATTGGCTTTTGCCAACCTGTGTCATTTATGGCGGAGGCAAGATTTCCATCCGGTAACCAAAGGACGAGTGTACTGCACAGTAGTTCGCTCCTTCCTACTATATGGCTGTGAAACATGGCCAGTAAGAGTAGTAGAAATACGTAAGTTACTGGTTTTCGATCATTGATGCCTCCGAAGCATTGCTCGTGTATCCTGGGACTATCGGGTAGGCAATGTTATAGTCAGTAAACGAGTACTAGGTAGGGATGGCAAATCAGCTGATGTAGTATTGAAACTTCATCAGTTGAGGTGGTTACGACACGTGTTACGTATGGCCAACCACCGACTTCCTTGTCGAGCTATGTTTTGTGTTGTAAGAACAGGTTGGAAGAAAGCTAGGGGCTGCGAGACCTAAAACTGGCAGAAATCCATGGATTCACTGACAAGTGGACTGAGTCATGTCAGTAGGTGTCGATGGTTAGAACCCTGAATGACATGGCTCAAAACCGTTTGCAATGGGGCAGGTGTATTCATTCATTGTGTTCTCTCAAATCTTAACCTTTAGAGTTGCTCATCACTTTTTTTTCCTTTAATTTTATTTCACTAGATTCTACTTCTTAAATAATATCTTCTCATCCTAATCTCTCCGATTACTTCTAATACTTTTACTACCTCTACCACTACGGGATTTTAATTGACAACTGCATCTCTGTACTAATGTGGTATGGAAACTTGAACTTATGTACTTACGTACGCACGAAGTACTACGTTGCTACTGATTGATTGATTGATCAACCAGATATCCTGCTGAAGGAATAAAGTGAATAGTTACGGATTGGGTATCCTTTGAACCGGGAGTAGCATCCATTCTATATAATGTCACAAAGAAGCCATCTTGGAAAATATCAACAAACTTAAAGCCCATGTCATACGAAGTAGTTCGGTAGACCGCTTTCGATATCTACTGATGAAATTAACATACTCAGGAAAATCATAAATATTAATTAGTTTTTATTTTTACAAAAGTATCAGTCACATGCCGATTACTTACCTGCTTTTCTATTATCGATGCCTAGTTTGTTTAAGTTTGACCTTGAATGAAAATGTTTCTTTCCGTGCTGCATTAACCACTGGTTTCAGTGACATATTCATAAAAGGTACTTGATTGTGAATGATGATTATTCTTTAGTCAATTAGTGAAAAGTACTTAGCAATAACTGTAAGGAAAGCCTAAAACAAAGTAGGTTGGTGATTGCTGGTTGACGTTCTATACTCCGCGAGGAGTAACAGGCCTAACTAATAGAAACGATCGTTATTGGACGTCTATTAGAACGTTAAACATTTTATTGAATAATAATGTTGGAATAATAAGACTACTTATGTTTTCTGGTTAGCGTCTTCTTTAGCGAGTTAGTTTTTTTTGTGGGATGGGGTTGCCAACCCTATGCCCAACCCTCCTCCTTTATCCGGGCTTAGGACCGGCAGTAGCCCCAGAAAGCCTTCAGGCGGAGTTAAGATTAGGTATACAAACCATAAATCTGAAAAGAAAATTTAACTAATTTGAATAATGAAAATGTTAGTGTATTCAGTAAAGAAAATTAATCGCAGTACAAAAATGAATCGGCCACCAAGACAGTGGCAGATGAACCACAATTACGTTCCGTTCACACAATTTGAGATTTAGATGATGAATAGTCACTACTTCTACGCAGAAGTACCAGTGTGATTGGAATCATCCTCACTCGCTCCCAGCCACGCTAAATAGTCGAGCCTATAGGCGTTCTGTCGTCACTGGATGTTTCATTGGTTATGCTTCATCAGTCCTAAATATCCACCTGTAGGACTGGCGAGCGTTCACGCGTTTCTCTTTGTTCCCATTCTGTATGGTTTAGACCAGTCTACGTCTAGTGATGACCACCTATATTTCTTCCCTCATGATGAAGTTTTCATGCACCAAGTAAACCTCCTATTATCCGTTTTTGTTCTCTACACCAGATTCTAATTAATAACTAGTGTCGAATATATAAGTTTTCCTGTACTGGTTAGTTTGTAACCATTAAAAAATAAATCCTGTCGGATGTAATTGTAGTTTTGTTCGGATAATAATAAGTTTTATTTATGCATGTACAATTAAGTAATACCTCTCTAGAGTTCACTTATAAGAATTTAAAGTGTAGAAACGGTTGGTTATTGTATCATTAGACAAAAAATCTATAAAAATTCCTTTGAAATTTCGGTCAGATTAGACTGTTGTAATTTATCAAATTTGTAGAAGTCTGATGCAGGCGATGAAATTCCCCCTCGAAAACTTGAGCTTTGTTCACTCTTTGTCTTCGATTATATTTTCACTCTTAGCTTTTATCATGTATGACCTCATAGACAACCCTATATGACCTTTGACCTGACTAAATAACTTGCATCAAATACCTTAGAGACTTGTTTTGAAAATTTTGTCTACAACTCTGCTAGTCACATGTACACTATCAAGGTGATTACACAAGCGTCACGATTTTCAACGGTTGTCCAAATTTTTTATAACTTAGCCAATGTAGCTGCTACTAAACAAAGATATTTTACCAATACTATTGAGCCAAAATGTACCTTAACTGTTCTAGTGTTCTAGTATCCGAGGTGTTACTGAATGTCAACATTTTATTCTGGGTCACCAAAACTAACTTTAATAAAGATTTGTAAAGTTTTGAACGGCCGTTTTGATCTAGCTTGCAACTCCCCAGAAATGTGTATCCACTATCCCCCGAGTATGGGAATCGAACCCAGAGCATTCGGTTTCACGCACCAACACGTGCTCATTACTGAATGACATCATGAAGCATTCCTAGAGTTCTAGTAAGAAGTCGTGATCACTGGAGTTGGAAAGGAGACAGTTATCTAATGTAGGCAATGGATGAAGGCTGCTCATCACTATACATTAACACAAATATCCGCTCGGTGGTACAAGGGTTGGGGGTTTTTGTGAAAGACTGAATGTCCTGAGTTCGATTCTCGTGTGTGGGGATCTTGGAGACGCACTGCTGAGGAGTCCCACATTAGAACGAAATGGCCGTCCAGTGCTTCCAGATTTCCAAAGATGGTCTAACATAGATTAGTTCGTTAATTTAACGTTGCAAACAAAACAAGATTTAACTAAACAAGTAACTGAAAATTAGACTGAATTAAAAATATTTCTCATTTTTTAAGTGAAACAAATTCTATCCAGTTTCATTTAACACACATTTAACAATAACGAAACATTTGAGTTCATCAGGAACAGCAGAAGGCATCATTGAGGATTGATTAATTATTTCAATGAAAAACGTGATATTAGTTTGATTGCTATGGATCTTCGACCTTCAGTAAGTCATCATTGCATAATGTCCAGTTAGACGGGAGTTAACAGCTTTTTACAATATTTTCATCCGTTAATAACTGATGAGTTATATTTGAGGTGAATAGGACAAATGGACAAGAAGAGTGGTGGATATAATCACTATTTATTTTGTTAATAGATAAGTGATTCTTTTTATAATAAGGGATATATCCACATAGTTAAACCTTCTTATATAGGATGATTGAGAACGACCTAAGTGTTGTTTTGATTGTAAAAAAAGTCGATCTTGACGAAGAATAAATTATTTAATTAAAACTGTCTACTTAATTTCAAATAAGTAGTCACAGATTTATAAGTAAAATATATTTGCTTTTTAAGCATTTGAACTTGAAGTATTTTTTTGATTGACAGACAATTGTTCAGTAAGCCAATTGAATAAAGTTTTTATTTTTATCATACAGTAAGATTTTGGACAATAGTTGCAATATAGTTATTTTTAGAAACCAAATTAAAATTTACGACTTTGTTACCCGGAAATATGAAGTACCTGTAAGACCTTTTAAACATATTTACCTAGGAAACAACTTCACTTCTTATAAAAAAAAAAAATCAGTTTTGTGAAAACGTTTGCAAATAAATTTATTTGATTGAAGAAAATTTAAAAAATAGGAAAGAAACACTTCTGATTATTATCAGTAAGTGTGATAAAAGTAGTATGTGTATTAATATCATACATTCACTTACACAAGTTCAAATATTGAAAAATAGTTTTATCGTGAGAGTCAATTTTCATCAATATGAACTTATCTTCTTGAATTATATCGGGATTTCACTACTGCATCTGAGAAACAGTCGTAGGACACTGCCCTTTTGATAGTGTTTTGCATTGAACTGACTTCTAAGCCACTTTCATATCGTTAGAAACGAGGAAAGGGAAAATGAAGATTAGAAAAGTCTAACAACATTTGATTTTTAGGGTTAGATCCTTCAGCACCAACAAGTTGTTTCGTCTTATTATGAATTATCTAACTGATATGCATATAATATTGTACCAGAGATG